TTTGATTTATATTGTGGTTTTTCTGAATTTGTCTGAGAATGTGAATTGGCAGTTTCAGATTTATATATTTTATTATTTTTTCTCTCGTAGTTTATACAGTTTTGTTTCATTTGTTTACATTAAAAACGCTTGGTCTAATAAAAGTTTTTCACTATTATGAAATTTATTTGTTGCTTTAATTATTTTCGTTAATATTTGATGTTTAACTAAACAAAGTCTAATTTCATTTGCTAAGAATATAATAAATTTATTTAAAATATAAGTTGAAAAAATTTCACCAATATACTTCGTTAAATGTTGATCTCAGGCTTAATCTTCAAACCGAGACAATTGACCTATTTGCTGTGTGTCGATTTCTATACCGTATGTGCTTAGTAGAGTGCTGAGAATTCAGAGAGTGGCAGAGAAAGAATGAGAGAGGCAGAGAGCAAGAGAGAGGGAGAGACACTGAATGCGGCAGTGTTTGTAAAAGTTGAGAGCAACGCATAAGAATAAACGTTCGCGTAATATGTGGTCACGTTTTGTCAAATCTGTGAAAATTCAGTGTTGTTAACTTAAGAAATAAAACTAGTAAAAACAATGATATGTATTCGTTTTATTGCCGAATAAACAATGAAAACAATAATGTAAAATAAGGTACAAAACTAAGAGCTAAACTAAGCAATGACACACATAAATAAATGACAAAGGACACATACATACTACACATACATAAGTAAGTCCAGATATAGCTGTATTTATGTTGAAGTATGTATAAGTACCGTCTAAGAACATCGAATCACAACAAATACAAAATGATACATAACAATACAACCAAACAAACAAAACAAAGCAAAACAGTTGAGATTAGGTTTGAGTTCGTGTTTATGTTTGTGTTTGTGTTTGCGTTTGAGATTCCAAGTGCACTCTGTGCTTAGCATATATATACTCGTAAGATAGTATAATACGATAGGACTTTGTCATATTTATGGCTCCTGTCGGCTTAAAGAGAGCACGCCAAATGCAAGTAAGGAAAAGAAGTCAACTAGTAAGTTAAAGTTTCGCTTAAATGCCTTACGACTAGATTTTAGGCTGGGAGCAAAGTAGACTGTAAACAGTGGGCTGTGAACGGTGTGTTGGAAAGAATGAAAAGTGAACAGTGTTGAAAAGTGGTAAGTTGTAAGTTGTAAAAGGGCAAATGTGAAAGTTACTCGTCTAAAGACTGGCGAAAGTCCAAATTTTCTGATTCCTGCTTATTGCACCTAGATTTTCTTTTTTTTTCTCATCTATTCAAGTATGAAATCTTGTCATGCTTATGTGTATAAGTATAAGTATTTACTATACTCGTAGCTAATACAATTCGTATTTACCTATTTATTTATTTATTTGTTTTAAATTTCATCTTTTCTTTGATCGTAGTTAATAATGCAGCAAACACTTTGAAAAATAAAGTTTTGCATTTGGAAAAACAACACGTAACGTTTTCGATATACGATGTACAATGTTCGAAATTCGATATTCAATATTCGATTTTTCTCATATTCCGAGTTAAGATATTTTACAGTTGCTTTTAGTTCAAATTGAGTTACATGCTTGCTGAACCCAGTACCTCTAACTAAGTATTATGAGCTGTGTTCCTTACAGATCTATTCTTACATCCTTAGATCATACATATACGCATGTATATATGTATGTACGTATCGCATTAACACTAACAACTAATGGCAATTTCTTTCTATTATGCATAATTTACCTTTTTATTACGGATATATGTACGTATATATATATATACGTATGTGTACGTATATATATATATATAGCATCATAAATCTGTATATTCTAATATATGTTTTTTCATGGTTTATATATTATTCTTTTGTGTTGCATAGATTTCAGTTTAAATTCAATTTTATTACTTATTTTCTCGCTTTACTTGGCTTGAGAAAAAAAAAAACACGAACAAGCTAATTTTTTGTTTAATCCTTCTCTTAGTTTCTCTCTAGACCTGTACTGTCGTAATATTTTGTTTTCCTTTAAACTAGATCTTAGCCTTACACATATTTGGCTATAAGCAGTTAAAAAAAAATTACGCTTAAATTACTTGTTATCGTTATTGTTATAATTATTGTTTTTCTCTATTAAGTTGTATAGCGACCTAGAAATTATGTTTATTTTGTTTTCCAATTACTTGTATTATCTTCAAACCATCTTGGCTAAAATCTAATGCGTCTTTGAATATGCTGTAGTGAGAGAATCAAAATTACTATTAAAACGAAAATATAACAAAAATAATTATGCACTAAAAACAAAGATTTTCTTTCTGTTTTTCTTTATTCGTGTGTTGTTTATTCTGTGTGGTCTGAACGACTCTGCAGACGATGCCTGTTGAGAGACCAAGTCTAGGTTCTGAATGGCCGATAGTGTTTTTCGATTTGTAACATTGGCATTGCGGCTGAGTTGGAGCTGCCCTTCCTACTACAGGGTATACGAGTATTTGTTATAAATGTCTACATAAGTATATAACTCTAGAACTATTTAGCTGGCAGTGATATTTGCTCATTGGCTTGGCTTCTTTGGCTGTGTCTGATACGTCCTTAGTCGTCCTTATGAGAAAAGTGTGTGCAACAGAGTGGGATAGAGCAACCGAGTCACACGTAAAGTAGGAGACGAATAGAGAGAGAGAGAGAGAGAGAGAGTAGGAGAGAGATAGAGAGGGAGTGAGAGAGAGAGGGAGAGAGAGATAGGATTAATAAAGTGGCCACGAATATGGCAGTCCGGTTATGTTTGCTCCAACTCAAATAGAAAACTTTTGATGCGTTTGCGACTTGTTTGGTCCTTTTTCAGTTAATATTGAGTATTTTATTTGTTTCTTATGGATGTTTCTTGGGGATGAGAAAAAACGAAAACGATTTACATTAGAGCTGGCTGAGGATAAGTCTTTTAACGGATCGTTTAATGGAACCCTAGAAACAAAGTGGCGCTTCAAAAAGTTTTCTGGACGGATATTACAATTTGTAGCACATGATGTGGTCAATTCGATATTCGATGTGAATAAGAAGTTCTAAGCGTACACAAGTGTATTCGAGAGATTGTACCCGCTGCAGATGATTCATGTATGTCTTAAGTGTATATACCCAGCAAGATATTCAGTTCTTCTGAGATTCATCAATGGTTCTTCTACAATTGGCAGCTCGGTCTTCAGCACTGCTCCAACAGCTGCAATGCCAATGTGAATTACAACAAACAAATAATGAACAAAAATATTAACAGGTGATTGGTTGTGTGTGTGTATGTGTGTGTGGGTGAGTGTGTGACTTCAATACTATGCAATCAATTTGTGACAAATACTTTAATTTATGTTGCTTGTTTGTCTATAGCGTACAATAATATGCGTTATGTGTAATTTGTAATTATAGCAATTGGGGAATATTATGAACTATGTTTTTTCCTGGTACTTTTTTTCTCTAATTTCCTCAATTTTATTTTTTTTCGTTATTAATTTAATTGATTTATGCTATTAATGCTGATGAGCTCGCTTAAAAATTCCACACTTGCGGCTTAACAATGATGATTAATAATAATACGGAAATTGACTTCCGTTTCCGTTTCCATTTCCGTTTCTGTTTTCAATATATGCTTGCACATGTCTGATTAATTAAAAATACGCGTCATGAATGTGTTTGTGTGTGTGCTTGCCTTTTGTTCGTAGTATTTTTACTATTATAATGCTTATGGTTGTTTGGTTATATAATGATGCGCGCTACAGTTTGACCTAATTTACTATGTATGCATGTATGTATGTATGTATGTATGTATTTATGTAAATGTAAGTATCCTCGGCATTTAAGGTTTTTTTTTTTTTTTGGTATTTTTGTTTAGTATTTGTTCTCATTGTTTTTGTGGTATTTATGCGTATTTCTTGTAGTTTGTATTTCATTTTCTCCATTTACTAAACTGTCGCTGATATTTATTGATATTTTGTTGTTCTTTACATTTAGTTTGGTATCATTTTTTGTTCTTGTATACAAAATTGGTTTTCCTTTTGGTTTTTTGTATTTGTATTGTTTGTTTTGTGTTTTTTTTTTGTTTCGTTTTAATTTTTATATAATTTTTGTTCTGTTTTTTTCTTTTAGCGGGTAATACAAATGCTTAGAATTATAAAAAAAAAAATTGTTTATATTTATATATATATATATATATGTATACGCATACCATATACGCATTTGTATGTATATATGAGTAGGTTTTATATTTAGAATTATTAATATGCTGTACTTAGTTAACCTACATTCGAATACATGAACACTTCAAGATATCATTTTTGTTTTGTTTTAATAAGTGATTTAATTGAATTGAATTTAAACTAACTTTTGTTTTTTTTTTCCTGCTTTTTTGCATCTTTTTATTCTTTTCTTTCGCTTAACTCGTTCTATTTTAATTTTTTTTGTTGTTTTTTTTTTGTTTTTTATATTCACTTATATTTTTTTTCTACTAGACGAGAGACGAGCCTTTTAGCTACCTTTCTCTTTCTATGCTTGAAACAGTTGCAGCTGATGGTGTTGTTGTTGTTGTTGTTGTTGCTGCTGTTCGTGATGCTTTCGAGTGATTGCAGCTGCAGTTGTTGTTGCCGCTGCTGCTGCTAATGTTGTTCTTGTTTTGTTGGTTGTTAATACAGAAATGCAATTATATTCGCGGGCGTCGTCTCGACTTCGTTGGTGTTTGTTATGTTGCTGCATGACAAGCAAAGTGAGGAGCAGGTTGAGTGTGCGATGTGATGGCGTCTACGGGGGCGTATGAGTAATTCCGCGTAAATGGTGTGTGCGATGTTGGTGTGCTGTGAAGTTTCTATTTATGTTTGTTAAGAGTGTGTGTTTGTATGTGTGTGTGTGTGTGTGTGTGTGTGTGTGTGTGTGTGTGTGTGTGTGTGTGTGTGTGTGTGTGTGTGTGTGTGTGTGTGTGTGTGTGAGAGAGAGAGAGAGAGCGTTGTTTCCTCTGCTTTCCTTTCCATTCTTTTCCTTTCGTTTCTTTTGTCTTTGTGTTGTTCTTTCCTTGTTGGTTCTTGCACACACTTTGTCCTTGTCCCTGGGCAACTTCTATTTTTATAACTTTTTGACTTGAATCCATGGGGCATGCCCACAGTTGCAGGCGCCACGTGCAACTGCTTGCGATGTCCTTGGGCGCTGGCTGAGCTGACTAGCTGCAGCTGCACCCAAACTCCGTTTCCCGCTGCTGCTGCTCGTGATTGTTAATAATTCCTATCAATATTATCATCTTTTCGATCTGCCTTTAATGTTCGTTGTTGAGTTTTTCTTTTGTTGGTTGATTCGTTTCCTTTACTTTTGACCTTTATGTTAGTTCTGGTTCGGCTTAGTCCGCTTTCATTCGTTGTGTGGTTGGGTCTATTGATATCTTATCATTATCTTTATCTTTATCTTAATGTTGATCTTTATCTTTATCGTTATCTTTGTCGTTATCTTTGTCGTTATCGGTATCGTTATCGGTATTGAGGTGCCTCTGTGCTTTACTCTCTTGTTGATTGAAAATGACTTCGATGTGTTAGCATTGACGATAGTTTTTTTGGTTGTATTTGTAAGATACGTTTTTTTTTTGAGTTTTATTTTGAACTTATGAAGCGGTTGCTGCTGCTGTTGTTGTTGTACTAAGTAGTTGAATGTTGATGTTGTTGTTTTTATATAGAGACGACATATTGCATTTTGTATTGTTTCTAATACTCCCAATATCATGCATCCTGTATTTCACCTTTTAATCCAGGCACCCTGTGGTGTTGGTTATGTCCTAAACGATTTGCTAAATCCTGTACAACATCACGAAATATAACTGTATCTATATTTTCACCTAATAAATACAACAAAAACCAATCGCCCATCTTGGAACGACGAACGATTATTTCAATAGCGTCACGACGCACTAACCTGAAAAATCGAATAGAAAAAACAGTGTTAGAAAGGGCTAAGTGCATTATTCGTATGTGGACTCACCTAAATCGCATTCGAAATAAATAGACCCTCATTCGAGGCGAGAATATAATAACCACCCTGTATATTAGCGTTAATAATGTGAGTAACGTTAATAATATAAACCAAAACCAAAGGAAAATGTAAATTTTCTCATTAACAACATTTAATGGTAAAATGCAAATGGCGTCGTGTTTTTCCACCTAAACCAAAGAGCCACAAAAATATATATTTAAATAGTATATATATATATATTATCACTCATTTGGAGCAATCACTCACCTCCCCACTTGAACCATATTTAAAAAATGTACATTTGGTCATTCTGGGAAATATGTAAATCATCGGATCCATGCGATCTTCCTGATCGGTCTCCATATAATCTATCACATCCAAGCCAAATGTCATAAATTCGCCATCGAAAAATCGATTCATAAGAAACATTTGACCTATGCAACAAGAACGACATATACACACAGAAATATATATTTACACATATGTATAAGTAAAAGTTTGGCCGACGATAATATGTAGTATGCGATATGTAGACAGTGTTTATAAAGTAAATTGGCGGGTGTAATTTATGGGTTTATTGCTGCCTCCAACTTGCCGTCTGTGTGTGTGTAAGTGTGAGTGTGAAAATGAGTCTGAGTATGAGTATGAGTATGAACTCAGAGATATCTGTTATTGTTAACAATCAAACAATGTGATGTCAGGCAATTATAGAATATGAATGGGTTCACCTTTCCGGCTCCCGGCTAATTGAATATTCAGGGGAAACAATTACAAAATTTAATAATCCATCATTTGTTGATTTGATTCCGTTTGTGTTCCAAAATCAAAAAATAATGTTCACGAAATCGCTTAATCGATTTTAGCCTAATTTATCGATACTCTGTCGGTTATCGATAAGACGATAATTTCAAAACAAATTTCCATTTACTTGATAACATTTTCTTAAACAAATTATACAATTTCTAAGCCGAATAAAACTTAAAATCTATAAAATCCCAAACAGAGATCTATCAGAATATCAACTTTCTCAATATCGATTTAGTCCCATATGTTTTGTGTCGATTTTCTCGCAATCGATTTTCTCATAAGGTATCGATAAGTCCAAATAAAACATAACAAAATGAATCGAATCAAATCTATTATACTCGGCATCCTCACCCCATAAGAATAGATTGAATTGATTCGATAGTTTGTCGAACACATACGTATTTATGTACATATACATATACATATACATATAAATATACTTATATGTATATATTTTAAACTTTAAAAAATGCAAACTATAAATTTAACTTTGTTAAATGGGATACATTCCCCCATATTCCCCAACGCAAAAAGCGTTTCTTGTAAACTCATCAGCCGTCAACATTCAATTAGTCTGAACTCTGACTATTTGTTAATACGCATACTTGTGCATGTGCATATGGTATTGGTGTATTTTATAATTGTTTATTTCTCTATTTCTTATGTATTCTGACAGTTAATTATTTTGTTAGATTTCCGATTGTAGCGCACGTGGCGCACGTTGTCAGAAAAAAAAAGAAACCAGGAATCCGCAGCAATAAGGAAAATTTGTTTATTTTGATGCGGCCTGCGGCTACGGTCAGTCGATAAAAATTCGTCATTGATTTTCCTCGGAAAATGAGTGAATGAATAAAGAAAGCTCTATTCGAGCATATATGTATGTATTCTGTATTGTGTGTGCATGGCATGAGTTTGGCGTATACTAAAGATATCGTGTATAGTTAACCTCAAATTTGTTTATTGGATTGTGCAAACTGGAACAGTTCTCTGCAGCTGCACCTCATAATGATCATGAGCAAGCAGATGATGCAGATGGATGATGGATGATGGATGATGGATTATGGATTATGCATAAAAATGATAATAAATGATAATGATAATGTGGCTGTTACTCACCTATCACATTTATTAGGGCGAGCAGTTCACACACGTAGTATCTGTACGCCCACCAATTGTGATATCTAAAATGAGAAATTTTGATTATAATGGACCATAAAGTAGAAAGTGGGCATTTGCTTACCTTAAATTTTCCCATAAATAATCTAAAAGTAATTTCTTTTTTTGTTTTTTCTCGGCTTCGGAACAAATGCCTATATCTAAGTCCATGATGAGCGCATGAATTTTGCCACCCTCCCAAGACTTCCACAGCCATCTTGGTGTGTAAAATAAGATTGCCTGCAAAAAAAACACAAAAAAAAAATAAGTAAATAGAGAGAAAGAAGAATCGGTGAGAAACGCAGAGATAGAGATAGAGACAGAGATACATATGTGTACAGATATATAAATATATATGTATATAGGCATTAGTTCTGTAAAGGTGAGTTGTTGCCTTTGTGTAGGCGTCTGACGCATTGGAATTGTCGTAAAAGCGCTTAAATTTGACAAGTGACAATCGCCAGCTGTTTTCTTAGGCATACGCCATAGAGAATCCCAGGCGCGTAATTCCAGTTAACAATGCCAAAGGTATTATATGCTTAAGATTGCCTTTGGATGACCTTCCTAGATGAGTGCTCCCATGCATTCCTATAGTTATATTATTTGCTGATTTCGATACTTAGACAAGCAGATAGACAGACGAACAGACAGACGTAGATATTTATATGTAAGTATTTATAGACATGTCATCAAAACAATTAGCTGTGATCCATTAGCGAAAGTATAAGCAACAAAAGACACATATGCGACATGCGAGAGACACAGAGATACAAAATATTGTTGATGAAGAAACAGACTGCGGCAACGGCTATGATCTTGCCCAATTAAATGGATCTCTTGTCGGACATTTGGTATTTATGTACGCTCTGATGACATATTAATAATAACTTGTATCGTAAATTTAACACTAAATTGTGCAAATGTTTACTTTGGCGGCCGCAACGCGCTGCGGTTTGCCCAGCTCGATGTGGGCAGGTGCTAATCCCAGACTGCTCAGGGAGACAATGGCTTAGTGGACGTGACATTCTAATGCCCATTGAGGTGAGAGTTCAGTATGTTTAGACGGTTGCCCAAATGGCGGCTGTCCGCGCCAATCTTACGTCTGTTCCATTGCCCGTCTGTCAGGCGTCGTTTTTGCATTTTCCATTTTCATTTGGCATTTGGGTGTCGGTGTTGGTAAATGCTAAAATAACTATATAAGTCTATAGAACCCGAACGTCAACGTCATGACGGGCACGGTCATGGCAGCATTTGAATTTTGCATCTGTTGCAACAATACGACTTTAAAATCGAAATTGGCGTCGCCGCAACATTTTATGGCTGGGCAACATCTGCGGCACATTGTATCGCCTTATGACGGCAAGAAAACAACAACGAAAACAACAAAAGCAACAATAGGAAGCACAAAAGAAGAACCAAAACAAATGGACAAGTGATGGGCTCACAGCTTGCAACGCCTTGCCGGAAGTCAAATGATGCGTTTGATTTGGTTTTTGCCTTATGCGAGCCACAGCAAGTATTTCCCTTATTGCTTGGCCCTCATCGGGGGCATATTTCTATTTGTTTTCCTCTCGCCATCTCTCTTTAGCCCCCTGGTTACTGCTCAAGTTGCAAATTGGCTTGGCCCGACGACATGCAACAGTAATAATCAGAACATCATCCAAAATCCTTGTGGGTGCCCGGGCAAAAGGGCTTTCCGCTAGGGGAGTGGAGCACTGACTGGGGCTGCGGGGCTGCGTAGCGGGACGCATATGCGTGTGTCTGAAAAGCAATTTGGCAAGCGTTCAAATTGCCATAAAAATATCGCATAAATGCAACTGCAATCAAAGCAAAATGAAGTAAATACCAACAGCCGCAGCCAGCGAAAGAAAATGCACCAAAGTCGGCGCGTCCAACACAAAAGACGCACAGTGGCGCAAACGTGGCAAAACTAATAGCAAAATATTATTTAATGTATGCTCAGCTTTGAAAAGAACATCTAACAAGAAAGTTCAATCATTGAATAAGTGTATTTCTTATACAAAATCTATGAAGAAAACAGCAAAAAGGCAACAAATCTAGCCTTTTCCGCTGTGAACAAAACAATTTCTTTTTGCTGTGCTTGTTTAAGCTGTTTCAAAATGTAACCCTAGCCGATTGAAATAAATTAAACGTTTATGTAAAATCAATTAAAAAGGTCACAATCACTTATTCTGATCAATTTTTCGTCTTTAAAAACTAATAAAGCACCTGATTGAAATCCATGTAAGATCTACGAAAATATGGTCCGTGGACACGCAGCTATATGATATGATGGTCTTATGTTGATTAAATGTTGCAGTTATGCAAGCAACAAGGGAATAGAGAAATAACACGAAAATCTTAAAAGATTTCCTAACAATAGTGCTAATTGTGACATATTTGTTGTAAAAGTTGACTGACACTTAAGCAATGAAATCAATTGCATTGTATTTAACCTGATCACAAGGTGCGCAAAGCAATGAAGCTATAAGAAGTGGTGAAAATTACCATGTAAAATTAAAGGAAATTTTGCATTTTCAATTAGGCAAAGTAATTGAAACGCATTGTGGCCATTGACGAGCCCAAGCACAAACAGTCATACTCAGCTCCAGCATGTGGGCGGGCTGTCTGCTCGGCTAAGGCAAGATCTGTGGAAACTGGAGGCAAATGGCGAGTGCGCCTGTTGCCAGTTGCCAGTTGCCGGTTGTATGTTGCCTGATCCCGGTTCCGTGTTAGCTCCCCACTCCCGGATGGCGTGAATAAAAATAAAAGCACATAAGTCAAATATAAACACATGTCCGTGCAACTCTGGTGGGGAGTCCAGCCGACGTTGGCGTCACGCTGCCAACCCGTCTCCCAGCGCACACGAACTTCGAAACAAACCAATCCAAACCAGCCCCAACCCCTTCCCCAACTCAACCCCATCCCCAACGCCAATCCATTCCATCCCAACGCAGCATAGCTACGCAGATTCGTATCGGATCTCCGCTCCGCACTCTGCTTTTCCGTTCGGGCCAGATTTTTGTTTCTGTGCGCTGGCATTTGGCCAGAATTATTATTTGTTCACTTTTATGTTTGTCTGTGCCTTTTCAATAAATATCCAGCTAGGCAAAAACAAATTAAAAAAAAAAGAAATTTCAATTTTTGACATATTTGAGGGGAGCGCTTGATCGATATGAACCGATCGGGGACGGAATCGAAATCGAATTGGAATTGGAAATGAAAGAAAAGAATCAGGGAAATGGGCACGGAAAGGCAACGGGAGGGGAAAGCGAGATCGTGAACATGCTTGCCTACTGCAGGCAATTTTGCTTTTAAATTTTATAGCTGCATTGTCCAACTTAATGGCCAGGCCATTAGCGAGCGCGATCAATTGTTGGATCAGCAGATGATGGTTGCCGCTCGATCCCCACCACCCACTCGCAATCAATTATGATCCCTGCATCAGGGTCCTGAGATCACAAACATGTGTATATAATTGTAACGACCGACCTATCTATCTATCTGTCTATCTGTATATATATATATATATATCTAGCTATTTTGGGATATAGAAAGTTAACTATGTTAATTCCAGGTGTTCTGGGTAGTTCTATATACATAAGTAGTTGTTGTCCACAGATTTATAGCTTTGCTTGTTTTCTCGTGGCATTTATGATCGTTGACTTTTATTATTTATGCACACATACATATACATGCATGCATGTATACACTTATTGTTATTGTTGTTGTTGTTATATATGCATGTAGATGCTTTAATGCTTTAAAAACTGCATCCATTCGATTTCAGGTCGCATCCGTCGCACCCGTCGTCTTTATTAATAAATCCACAAATTAAGCAGAATGGAAAATGTGTAAATTATAGAAACGCCGTTCACGCGTCATTAAGCGGGGAGAATACCATAATAAATGTATTTATAGTTATTTGGGTGACTATGACGGCGACGTCTATAATCGCCGATGTGACACTAACCGAGAAAAGCAACGAGCCCAGCGAGGCTCTGCCCCCTCTGCCACACACACACACACAGTCACACACACAGTCACAGTCACACACACAGATACAAACACACCCACAACTGTGACAAAAGTGTGGTAAAAATATACATTTAATATTTGTACATTGTTAGCGGGAAGATATATCATTGTGTAATCGTTCAGCGCCCCTCGCCACAACTCAGCTTGGACTGGCTACTCGACGGACCGACAAACCCCAACCCCCAACCCCCAACCCCTTGGTATGTGTGGTGGGCAGAGTCGACAGGGGGAACAGTGACATATTTAACGATCTATTATTCTTGTGACAAAGTAAGTCTCTCGACTTAAGTAATTAAAATTATTATTTTAAATGCATTAGAAGCCTTAAATATAAAATTTTTATTTTTGGAAACCATCATTTCTTTATTAACTTCTCTTTTGGAATACATTTAAATTTAATGGGCCTTAAGGTATCAATTAAATTTAAATGTAGTGCACAAGCTTGTATATCTTGTGAATAAAGACAATGGAGAAATACAAAATAGTCTTCTTATTTGCCATGTAACAATTTTTGATCTTTTTTTCCAGTGTTATACATGGCTGATGCTGATTAGTTTTTCTTTTATGTTACAGGCACAGTTCAGCTCATAGTTCCTGAACCAAACCAACATATATAACATACATAAATTTGTTCATTTATGGAACGAGTATTCTAATTGGATTTATATTTTAAACTTAATTTTCTTCCTTCCGTTTTTTGCAAAAGGATACAAATGTTCTGGACTAAAACTAACAAAATGTTTTAAATTTCTAGAGACGGCTCTTCTAGACTTCACTTGAAGGAAGCTAGGAGGATCCAGGACTATATTTGTACGAATAATATTAATGATGTTTGAATGTGAAAGTGTTGAAGTATAAGGACTTAGGAAGTATTCAAAAATTGTTGAACGCTTCGATCAATATGTAAACAAACAAACAAACAAACATATGCACATATATAGTAGTACGTCACAACATAGCAGAGTCAACTGTTGCTGGCCTTGAGCATGCGTAAGTGAAATGTTCGCAACAGCAACAAATCGGGTAATACGGATATGTTTAAACATTTCCATTTCATTGGCTATGCGCATTCAAGTTGCTTGCGTTTCAAAGGCCAGCCAGCAACAACAACAATGAATCGAAAAAAATAAGTAGAACAAATATTTGGAAATTTGAATTTTGTATTGAGACTCAAAAAACGTACGCACTCATTCAGATGTATA